TGACACAGCTGTCTGCTTTGGGAAACGAGGTGGTGCTGTGACAATGAGCCACAACAGCAAAGTTGCAGGCTGTAAAACTCTGAGAGAGCTGCAGGGGAACTGCAGAGTCGGATGATAATTCTCAGTGGAATCGTCACTTCCAGTGAAATCCTTCACATTACATACAATGCAATCATTTCACCCACTGTTAATATAGAATATCTATCAGAGCAGCTTTAAGGCTGTGTTAGATTATATAAGGTGTTGCCAGAACAATGACTCCACTAAACACTGCGTAACCCTACATCAAGGTTGCACATTTATAAAGAATATGGACTTTTATCAGGCAGTATAATGTCTAACAGACAGTTTTAGGGCATCACAGGTTAATATAGAGCTCATTTGTTCTGAAATAGGTCTTGTTTAACGGTCTATCTCACAGAGCAAAGAGCTTTTATCCTGGCAATGAAACATAGTATTAAAGGTTTAGTCAGGTATCGCTGCAGCAGATGCTGAACTAAAAATGCTGCGTAGCTTTATGATGTAACAGATTTTTGAACCTTGTTGTTTCTCAGTGTACCAACATTTTGCTTTTGTGTATGCTTGTGCCTCTGTTTCTGTCTCACAAATAACATAAAATAACAAAGAAATCTGACAAAATTCTGCAAAATCCTAATCCATGAGTTTCAACAGGTTATTAGAGTAGATTTATTTAATTTATTAATAACAAATATAATCTTAATCAATAAGGAATTAATCTTATCGATTGTAACCTACAAATGAGAATACAAAATATTAGGAAAACGTTTAAGGGCAATCCAGTCTAGTTAAGTAAAATCACTTAAGCTTTATGAACTCACCAACACAAACTGAGGATACAGATGCTTAAGAAGAATTTAGGGTAGAGCTGTTGCATTTCTATGCTTTAGATTTTACATGTGTACCTAATAACTATTATTTTCTCTGGCAATAATGTATAGCAAGTGTGACATTTAAATTTCCTGTAGTTATTACTATTACATTTACGCCCTCAACACCTTTTTCAAATTGTTTATTTGACCTGCTTGTTTGAGAACTCTGGGACTTGTGAGATTAATACCTCAGTGTTAAATCTATGCTGTATTGTAGCTGCAAACCCTTCTGAAACCCTATGTCGTAACTGTGGACAGTGTAAAAGATGGACGTAGCTTCTGGGTCTGAAAACTAAATCCAGTGTGTAAGTGCTTTAAACTTGGATTCTTTTTAAAGGGGCAACACATGGTGGAACCTGTGGTTGCAAAAAAAAAAACCTCCGGTCCTACAGAAGTGGGGGGGGGAAAGTCCTCTGCTGAGCTGGGATCTATGTAAAAAAATTTCCTGCTGAGTTTAGAGTCTTATACATTCATTTTCAGCCATAATGTGTAAAACACGAGGAGCGTTTTTGTACATTTTGGTCACTCTAAGTGTCAGAAAGGAGGTGGTTCACAGTTATATCTGTCCCCATCGTCACATCAAGTCTCCATACACCCAGATGCTGATGGTGAAAATGTTCTCATGGTGTCACAAACTAGGGGGAGGTGTCTGGATAACTACATCCACCATTAAGTGTATTGAATCATTTAAAAGTTTAATATTCTTTCTTGATCTCTTCTTGTTGTTAACTGTCTGCCCAGCTTTTGCTCCTGTAGTGGTGTTGTGCATTGTGGGTTTCAGAGCTTTTTTGTCTGCAAACAGCTTCCTGCTGCAGCCAAGTATTGAACCAAACAGTAAAGTTGTGACATCCAATTAAGCTGAAACTCTTTATCAAGCTTCGCCAGGTAATAATTCTCTGTACAAACAACCCTGTTCACACTTTAACAAGGCTGATTATTGTCGCTCTTAAGTAGACATGGCCTCTCCTGTGTCTCTGTCTCAGTGAGGAAAAAACCCACAGACTTTCTCTTAGTGAAAAAGTTAGATTGTTCATTAGTTTAGTGGCTCCATAGCAGGTGGTACCATCACCTTGGGGGTTGTGTCATGATCAAAAAACCAACAATTCAAACCTGCTGTGTTGAACCTCTTGCAAATAAGGAAGTAAATGAAAGCAGCTCTATATTGTTCATTAGTTTCTATTAGTGGGTAAAAGTAAAATAACCACATCACATCAGTGTTTAACAGCCTGTCCATCAGCAGTGTAGCATGAAACTAAGAATAAGTGTTGCAGTGGCTGTGGGTTGGGTTTGATGCTCTTCCTGAACAACCTCCCCACATTTGATGCAAATGTAAGCATTTTTGTGGCTAACAATTATTATTTTAATGATTAAATAGACACAGTAGACATCCAACTTGTGTTAAAGTTGTCTCATTTCACATCCTGCTTCAACAAAACACCCCGTGTTTATTCAAAACGCTCTGAAAGCACCAATTCAATGAGGATTTAATGTTAATGTGTATTTGTGCTCTCTGAGGCTACAAGCTCTGTTTGGAAGATTACTGACTGACTATTTATTATCACACAGAATGACAATCAAGCCTTTTCAAAAAACATCTCTAGCTGATTGTCTGAATATCGCTGAATATGGTCTGTCTAAAGAGCTTGTCCCTCTTGAGCCCAGCATGCTTCCTGCCTGCCCTTCCTCCTCTCCCCTCCTCCGCTCCCACCATCACATCCGCTTCCAGCGCTCTGAACTCTACATCCCTGAAAGTTCAAGGGAAAATCAGCCGCCATCAATCACTAATGCAAATGAGGAGAGCAAGCTCTCTGGAGCAGCTTAGCCTGTTGAACATCACACAGCAACAATTAAAACCCCTGAAAGCAAATCATCTTCAGTAGACCACTAAATGAAAAGAGCCTTCCTTTCAAGAGTGCTCAATAGTGGCAGGATTTTCAAAGGCTCTTGCCCATGTGTGCAGTTTAATGATGAAAGTCAGGATGGGGGGCTGTGACGGAGGGAGACTGCACTCTGTTCGGCAAGGTTGTTACCATGACATTTGGTGCAACATCAGACTCAAGAGGATCCTATAACATGCTATTACAAAGGGTCATTCTTATTTAGATATTCACATGCTTTCCTGCTCCTCCTGGATCCTACCAAACTGTTTCAGTGTGCCACACATAACCCAAAACTTTACTAATTAAGAGAAGTACCTGTAAGGACAATTAGATTTCAGTGTTTTAAGTCTGGTAATTTCTTTAAGTGTTTGACCTTTCTGCCTTTGCAGGGAAGTTTGAGAGCAAGGTAAAACACTCCTCACAGGACTCTGGCCGTAACTAAGTAATTAAAAAGTGCTCCACTAGGCTCTAACCTTATTATTCCAGCCTTTGAGAAATATCTTCAGATGTTCTTAAGCACTCCTCAATGGATCTCGGTGAGAAAGCCTATTGCAAAGGAGGGGTCTGAATATATTTTACCTTGTACTCTGTGACATTTTGAAATCTAAAAGTCATTCTTATTAAGAAGAGCTTTGCTTTGCATCCTGAATAGCGGCTTTGTTCTCCCTAGCTCCAGGGAGCAGCATGTTTTTCATGCTGACTTCCACTCACTGAACCACACATGATGCACAACACATAATTATCATACACAACATGTTGACTGTGTTTGTCTGGGGGGGGAAACAACGCTCTAAAACTGCTCCAGACAGCGAGCAATTAGCTTGTCAAGCACCTCTTTGAAGCTGACATTTGGTCAGTGGACTCCAGGCTCCAGTTGCCTAGGTAACTCTAAAATGTGTTTACTACCATGTCACAAGTCAATCAGCAGTATCATGCGGTCTCATTGGTAGTTGCTTCAATCACTGGCTTAGAAGTTGAGAACAATTTGCACTACTAGCATTTTTTTTTCCCCCCGCCCAAGTTACTTGAAGTCACTTGACTTTCAATGAAATAATGATACAGCCACTCATAGACACAACAATACAATAAAAACTGCAGTTCATTTTGAAGCAGGTGAAGGTTCTAGCTTCATCGTGCCCCTTGAAGCATGCCTCAAAAGCAATTCCGCCCTCATAAACGCCTATGCTAAAATTTCCAACTTTCCAGCGTTACAAAACATGTTTACAGCCTGGTACAAAAACTGTTTTTAGCCTATCCAGTCTTCAAGTGATGACGTATGAACCCTGCTTATGGGGCCAAACCACTCTACGCGTTTATTAAGGCTGTTGTGTTTTGAAAATGTTTTAATGCTTTATATCTTGTTTTATTTAATCTGAACAAGCTGTCATGAAAGCTTTGACTGGCAGCTGCAGTCACAGAGAAGCTTGCATAGCTCTGTTTGGGAATGGCAAATATGACAGGGACACTGCATTAACTTTCTAAAACCACGATTGACTGTTTCAGACTGACAGCGTGAGGTGTTCCGCAGTAAACTGACTCACCGCCACACTTTTTCGGTAAGTCAAATGTTTGTTTGTTACGTGTCTGCAGGCGGCATGATTTCTTTCCCTCTCCTTTTGTTTGCTATTTCCTCAGGTACACAGACTGCAGGCTGGTGTCAATTTGTGGATCTCCAGCTAATTAGAGGAAGGGGTCTTTGTTTGGACAAACTAAGAGTGCACACCTTGATAAGGAGACTCACCTGTGGTTAGGGTGGCTCTCTCTTCCTTGTGTAGAATTGTTTGGCACATGTGTAGAGTGCCTCTGGTGTATTTCTTTTGTTTGAAGGTTGTGGTGGGAGTAAAGAGGACTAGGTAAGTCTGGGGAACCCATACACTTACTCATATAGAATCTTTTCTATTAGAAACACTAGGTAAGTAGGTTGGTGCCACCCATGTAATTTTGAGCTTGTTTTGAGTTGAGGATTAGGGTCCCCCCCTCTTGTTTTTGTTTTTGTAGGATAATACCTCAGCTAAGTTTTGTTGTTGTCTTTTTGGTGTCCCTTTCTCCCCCACATTTGTTGTATGAATTTGGGTTATTGTTTTTGTGAGAAAGCTGCCATTTAACTTCTTTCTGTTTATAAACAGAAGAAAGAAGAAGAGAAATAACAAGTTAACATAAACCAGTGACACACTCCAGGGCCTGATCAACCCTGGCAGGGCCTCCTTGGATGAGGGTGTCTAGTGATAATGGCCGAAACACCCGATGAATCCAAGGTCCACTACTGACTATGTGTCCCAAACTGGTAAAGTGTCTTGTCTGCTTTTCCTCATAACAGCCATCCTTCATGATTTTCTCCATTTAAAGCAATGCATTATCAGGGGCTGTAACATCTAGTCCTTTTTACTGAATCGTTTATAACACTTGTACCAGGTTTCTGGAGTTGTTGTGTTACCCCCTCCTGCCCTCGAGGAGGCATAACAGTGTTTGTAAGCTAATCAGTAACCGATGTTTTTAGCTAGCTAGTTTGGATTAGCTGTTGGGGAAAGCTGTGTTTGTTAGCTAATCTGTACACATGAATGAATTTACCCCAAATTTAAAAAATAAATAAATAAAGTATTCTGAGCTGTTGATTAAAATCAGTCCTATAGTTCAGACATTAGCTCTGCTGCTTCGACTGAATGTGCATTACTCCATATAGCTTACATCCTTTGAGAGAAATACTATGAAGCATACATATATGGTGTCCAGTACTGAGGCAGTTTAAACCTCCATACGCTTCTGTTTTCCTGCAGATGACCACTGTGCAGTAGCACAACTGAACCAGGACTGGAAACCTGCCCTATCATCTCAACTCAAAGGTAAATATTCTACTAGATAATCTCTTAGTATATCAGACCCCTTTTTTTTTTGTAAAAGCTCACATCAGAACAATAGAACTGAAAAATGTAAGGGCAAATCTTCAGAACCTGAAGTGGGTGAGGACAGGGAAGAATCAGGTTTATTTCACATTTGAAGAATAAATTTCACATTTTCAGTTTGTGATGAGTCTTTCCTTTGTGATTACAGGAGTTGCCCTCAGATTCAGACCTCAGCATCACCCAGTGACAACAGAACAAACAGTTTATATGTTCACTCTTTGTAGTAACTCCAAAATTAAACGGTGCAAAGGCTAAATTACTATATGATGTACTGTCAGTGGATGCTGCAGCTGTTTTATTGATAAAGTTAAAGACGAAAAGTTAAAGGGTTTAATCATCCACATAACTGGTGTCACTATATAGGAGCATAAACAGAACCTTGGGGATTAATAAAGCTCCTGATCTCAGACCTGCACAGCTTCTGCTTTTAACACTGAATGTAGAGTCCATTATATTTTCTATCAATAAAACCCGATGTACGGTCAAAGGTTTAAAATTAACATTGAACTAATATAATTTAATCCAGACTTCTATCACAGAGTGTTTTATTTACCATAAGATATTCAGAGTCATTCATATTTGAGTAAACTGAGAGGATAATATAACTTTTGGCAGGACTGAATATAACATCATTATGTAAAGTTCCAGGCCCTCTGTCCTTTATCTGAGGATGGTGTGACTACTTCTGACACTACACAAAGCAAAGGCCACTGTCACACTGTTCATGAAGTGCTGGGTTTGTCCATCTTCTTGGGCGGCCTTCAGTGGAGGTCTGGTGAAGACATACCTCATATGAGCTGTTCGCACTAAAGTAAAAAATACCATCAGTTATGCGGATACCCCTTTGGCGCCAGCTGCAAGGCTGGAGCTGAACAACAACACCCTGATAACTACTATGTTTAGTCTGTTCCTTCCCATTCCATGCAAGGCCACCTGGGTTGGCTGGAAGACTGTTTACTTAGCCTGGCGGGGCGAAGGACACTGTCTCAGCTGAACTCTGGACACACACACACACTGATATGCACACACTGATCCCCCCTCCCTTTCCAAACTCCTTCGATGCTTGTGCCCTACCAGGGAAGATGGCAGTCGACTGGACCAGCACAGACATGCTGCAGGACCGGATGCGCTGTCTACACCGGCTCTCTCTTACCCTTTACCCGCCCCTGTTGCTTGTCTTGTGTTTCTATGGTGTATTGATAGTCATGTGCTTTTTGTGCTGAGGTGTTTTTTTCTGTTATCAAACTGTTCTCCCATAGTACAACTCCCGGCACATCATTTTCAGATCACCGCGGAGTTTCGCTGCTCGGGTTAAACGTAATATATAAGTCACTTAGACAACCTAAAAATGTTATTGTTGGGCTTTTTTCAGTGTTTTGTTTGTTCGTGAGTAAATCGGTTTGGCTGAGATTAAAGTTATTAGATTAGATAAAATAAAACTTTATTAATCCCCCGGGTGGGTTCCTCCTTGGTTTTCACACAGCTGACTAAACGTCAAACAGAAAACTTATTAAACAGAAGTATGAGACGGTCGAGAATTTACGCCAGTGTCTGGTTATATTTTGGATAGCAAGGAGCAGACGGCCGAGTTTATTAAACTCCACCGAGACCGTCCAATTTCACGCCTTTAAATTTTAAAGGCGTGTTTGTGTGTGTGTTTATACAATTGCTATTATGTTTGCACTTTATGTGTAATGTTACTGACTGCAGAGATCAGTAAGATGTGTGTATTTTTTATTTATTAGTTTTATTTATTTAATATTATTTTTTAATTGAATGACTGTCTAGTAGTTCACAGATGTCGAAAAACTGAGTGTGGTAAAGCCACTGATTTTTTTTATGTATATTTCTGCAATCTGCACATTGTACTGACTTTCATTTTAATGTTTACACCAGGGTTCCTTGTCAGCACTTTATGCTCAGATGTTTGTAAGCTAAAAATAAACTATTGTGTATGTTCAAATATACTGTTGTGATTGAAGAAGTTAAATAAAAATGTCAGTCATCAATTCATGCATCACCTCATGTCATCATAACAGAGGTCTGTCTTCCAGGAAAGAACAGTTTAAAATTAATGTAATATAGTATTGGCCATACTATATGATGTATTGCTTGTCTTTGTTTAATAATACAGAAGACAAAGACCTTAAAAAATAATCGCATATCGCATCGCAATCTCAATATTGGGGCAAAAAATCGCAATTAGATTATTTTCCATAATCGTTCAGCCCTACTGTAGAACTATAGAAGCTGTGTCTTTTTGAATATACAGCCCCGTGGTTGTAGTTACCTTCATTTCAGGAGAAAACTGGAGCAGTGGGTGGACTCTGGCTCCAAAAGTACAACATGGCAGCTCCAAGAAAAGAGAAATTTTAGCTTCATTTTTGTAGAATAGGAGGGAGCGGAGCCAGGTCCTCCATGTTTTTACAGTCATTGTTCAAAACCAAAAAGTGTTGTCACAGTGTCTGTGCTCCAGCTTGGACTCTACAATACCAGCAGATATTGGGAAAGTGGAAATGTTCCATCTCAAACATTTCCCCATCACCTTGACATAAAGATCTCAAAATCAGGGAAAACATTTGACAGCTGAATCAAACATAACATAAATAGTTAAAGTTATTATAAAATAATGCTAAGCCTTCAAATGAAACTATTCCAGTCCTTTAGTCGACATCACATAAAGTAAGAATCTTGATATATAGTAGTGGCAGTGTTTTTGAAGCTTTTTCCATTGTCTTTCTTATTAATCACATGCATTTTCTTGACTTCAGCTTAAAAAAACGAAGCCTTGTGGACCTTAAAACAGTTAATTATCCACTGGAATATGAAAGATAAAGTAAATACCAGCAGACACTGTGAGCCACCAAGTAATGAAGTCGCCCAGTGAAATCTGGATTTTAATGAGAGTAAAGTAAAAAAGTCTCCTTCACATCTCAGGACAGCTGGAAACAGATCACCCATGGATTTAGCTACTCCTGTAGAGAGCCACAGTGGGTTCCAGTATGTTTATTCATCAGATAGATCAGTGTGACTAAACTGTGTGTATTTGCATGGGAGTGTGGGGATGAACGCGTCAAATATTAATTAATAATATAAACTGGTTTCTTTGCAATTAGCGCTCTGTTTTTAGCCTTGGTTGAAAGAAACCCGCAGGCAGAATCTGAAAATGTCAGTGTCTTTAAATTACTCTTTGCTTTGTAAGAATAGTTTAAAATATGTCACAAGTCTGGATATTATTCTCCAACTCTGCCATTGGTCCTGTTTTTCTTGCCGCTGTCCAGCACTGAGCCCCACATGCCTCAGCTTGATCCGCAGCACCTGTAATCAGTACATTTACTACCTAAGAGCCAGCTTTTGATTGGCAGAGATAGGCCACACATGAGAAGTAAATCTAAAGGCACCGATCCAACTCACCATCTGCTTGTGGACAGGAAAGTCTGCATGGTAAATCATCAGAAGCCCACATCACCTTCACGATGTCCTTGTCCTTTTCTACCCTGGAGGTGAAGAGGTTTGAACTTGCGGCCTGGCAACTGTGGCAATCAATGCTGCGACAGAGGTGATTATCTTTGACTTTCATCTATTCTGGTCAGTTATTGTGAAACTGAAAGTGTTGGGAGAGACAAACAGAGCTGTCACATTTCGGGGTTTCTGTCAATTCACCACCTCATTCTTGTTGCTTCAAGCTCTGGGTTTGCTTGTGTTCTTACTTTCCCCCCTTCCTTTTCTCTCCCTCCGTCTTTTTTCTTTGTAAACCTTGCCTTGGACAAGTTTTGTCTGTTTTCAAGTTTTGACTGTCTTCGTGTGTTTAACAGAGCATTAAACATTTATATCTTGGACTTAAGTCTGCCTCAGGTGTCGTGCATTTGGACCTTTTTTCCTGTAACTATCTCACAAAGATGTATCTTGTTGCCGGTCCAGAATATAATGTATTCCTTTTTTGGGGTTATATTTTTTTTTTGGCACATTTGCAATTTTAGAAAAAACTGGTAGCATAACCTTGCAAACTTTTCAATATTTATTAGTTATTTATTGAATATTTTTGTGACTTGTGTGTTATTCTTTTTTCAAGGTGCTTCAGCTACTGCTAAGTGAATGATAGAGAGAATCTGCAAAATAAAGAAATGGTATGAGCCACAGTAATATTACTGATTACCATGAGATTAAAGTATTGGGTAATTATATTTGTACAATTTATTGCAGATGTACAAAGATGTTGTAAAGAACAACCCAAATTCCAAAAAATACGGTAAAATGTAAATAAAAACACTGCAGTGATTTACAAATTTCATAAACTCATATTTTATAGAAAACATGAAATGTTTAAAGTGAAACAACAATTCAGCACCTGGACTCTTGTACTGAAGTATGCAGTGTAGCATTGTCATCCTGAAGTATGAAAAGGCAAAAAAAGGCATCATCAGGATGGAAGCATATGTTGCTCTAAACCAATACCGTTATATACTGAATGCTGATAAAAGCTGGATGGTCCTTCTTCTCTTTAGTCTTGAGGACACAGTATCAATGTTTTCCTAAAAGAAAACCAATTGGGATTTTTCTGAACTGTGTTCACAGACAGCGATTTCTGAAAGTGTTTTAATGTAGTTCCACCCAAGGTCCTGAAGATCACGGGCATCCACTACTGATTTTTTTTGCCTTGTCCCCCTGTGCAAAAAGATTTGTCCAGATTCTTGGAATCTTTTGATGATGTTATGTACTGTAGATGAGCCTTGGCAATTTTATGTTGAGAAACATTATTCTGAAATTCCACAATTTGGGGGGGGGAGGGGGGGGGAATCATTTCGTCTGTGAAACTGCATCTCTAAGATTCTCTTTTTTCCCCTATGAAGCTAAATAATTGCTAAATATTCCTCCAATTATTTCGTTTTAATACCACTTCCTTTTCCAGGCTTCTGTTGTGCCTGTCCCAACTTTTGCAAAACTTTTTGAGATGTGTTGCTGCCATTAAATTCAAAATGAGCTTAACTTTTTTCTTAAAATGGTGCATTTACAGTTTTGTTTTGTTTTTTATAATTTCCTATGTTCTACTGTGGACAAAATATGGGAGAGTTGTATCAGAAAAATTGCAATTAGTTGCAATGAGATTTGCATATCATTGCATCCTTTTTTTGTTCACGTTTTACACAGCAGCCTAATTTTTTTTTGGAATTAGAATAAAATAAAACAGCCCTTTATTCTCATTGCACATGCACAACAAAATTGTGGGATATCCATCTGGGCACATTTTATGCTGGGATGCCCTTCCTAATCTCGACGCTCCCATTTGTCCAGGCTTTGCACCGGCACCAGGTTAACACTAGCCCATTAACCCCTGAGGCTGGGTTTGTGGCTCCTTCCGGGCATCTTTCACATGTTGACC